AGGGTTTTATCACAGTTGTTCACAAGACAAGAGCTGCGTGCCCCAAAAGCGGAGGACAGGCAAAGGCTTTTTGAAACAAAAGGGAATTCGTTTTCTCACACAGTGCAGTAAATTCTGGAGGTCAATGTTACGGAAATCAGAAATTCAAAACTGTTTTGAACAAACGCGTGGACCATAAAGGGAACGGGAACAGCTGGCAGCGAGCACAGCTGGAACTGGGCTTCTGTGAGAATTATAGGAGCTCTTGAGAGCGGTAAAGATAAGGGTTAAATGGGATGTGGCGATGTGTTTTGTTGCAGAGACTAACACTGTAAAATGTAGGTTCAGTTTTAAACTATGTGGAGGTTTTTGTTTATACTGATCTGTTTAGGTTTGTCAACTCCACAAACATTAAATATTGAGGTAAGTCTGTCTATAATGCTTATTTTACCCTATTAATTAGTTTGGAGATGGAGATGGGGTTTGTTTGGGGTTTTGTTTAAAGCCTCATTCTCTTTTTAAGTGTTAGTGTTTGTTTATTGTGCAGATTCAACCCCTGACCGTGGTATTCTTCATTGCTATTGAAAGTTAATGGGGGAAAAATTGCATTCCAAACATTTGAACCTGTAGTAGCCATGGCTGAACTTAGTTGATCTCTGGTGATCGGTTCAATTTAGTTACGATTTTTAGCCATTAGGCTGGGGCTGAATGATGGTGATTTGGTTGAGGCCAAATGTCTGTAGAAAATTGGCTGTTTGATAAGAGCCCTGTTATCAGAGGGGGATACTTTCTCATTTACATTTAGATGAGTATTGATTATTTATTTACTCAGAGAAGTGAGATTCGTTCCCAATCTTATCTCTCTCGTCTCTGCTTGTCAGCAGAAAGAGAGATAGAGCTCCTGACATCAGCCCAAGATAACAGCACTTTGTAGTGAAGATAAAAGTTGGAATGGGCCTTTTTCTAGTCTTGACTGAAAGGATAAGTTTTAAAAATTAGAACTGATGGGTCATGCTTTCAAAACCCCATTCTGAAGGCTTTGCAGCTTAAATGGCAACAGAATTGGTTTGTTGTTATGCGGATGGCCATTCCCCTTTTGTAAGAGAGGCGCTTAATTTGATTATGCGGTGGGATTCTTCCTGGGGCACCTTTGTATTGGCCACTGGAAGGCTGTGGTGTGGTGTTGGGGTTGTTTCCTCGTTTGTAATTCCTGATAAAGCTTCCTCTGTGCAAAGGGGTGTCTTGAGATAACGAAGGACAATGGCTATCTGTAGGCAGTGACTGTGCTGTGGGTAGTTAAACGGGGATTTTAGGGGAAGGGACCTGTGCTACGGAGGGTCATCTCTGCCGGTGAGGGGTGAGGAGCAGCTCTGTCTGTTGAAGTTCGCCCCGTTCCTCCCCAGCTGCTGCTCTGTCAGGACGCCAAAACAAGTCCAGAAGGATTGTTGTTACTGGTAGTATTTGCAGTGTGGGGGTTAGGCACTCGCTCCTGCCTGTGGGACACTTTACCGGGAGTGTGGCCCAAGAATGGAGAAGACCCAGTGCCACCAGGTCTCGTGGAGAAGAGCCCCAGCACTCGCGCCCTCCCCTGTGGCCTGGGGTCCCTCTGGCACCCCAGCAAATCTCCGCTGGTGTGTGAACAGAAGAGTTTGCTGGGAGGTATAACCACTTCTCTTCCACCATTTTGTGGCCTGTTTCAGACCACTGCCTGGGTTCCCTCCTTCTTCTCCGGACACATGGACACTTGTTTCTCCAGCCCTGCTCGCTTTAACCCAGCAACAGTTACTCTCTCTCCAAGCATGTGTGGCAAAATGACAGAGCTAGAATAGGGGTTGGTGTTCATTAGCTTTGTCCTCTGAGTATTTTGCCCTGGTAACTTCCATTTCAGCATACTCACTCCCAGGTTGGTGGTGGGACACGGCACCCATGGTGTGCCCTCCCCGTGCTCCAGCGAGCAGCGCCATGTGGCGCCCTGGGCCGCTGGGTGCGGGACATGCTCGAGCTGCGGTCCCTGCCATCAGCGGGGAGCTCCGCTTGGGTCGCGGGCCAGGACCACTCCGTGCCAGGATTTCCAAGGTTTCTTTTACGACTGTGCGGAGCATTTGCATCAGATTACAGAAATCCATAAAATCCAGCTTTGGTATTACCACTTGAAATTCTGTTGAAATTCCCAGAGCAGTATTCCGTTAGGAGACCATTAAATTACCTAATATTTCTGCTACAATGACATCATTTGAACTCGTGAGAGAAGTCTGGTAGTAAAACTCCTCCACAGAATCCGCCTAACGTTTTTCATCTGTTGTAAAGTAGAGGTCAAGTAAATGCATACAGATATTTAAAATACATTATTTAAGAGTAGATACTATCTAAATAGCCATTTACACTTTTTTATGAATTTCTTAGTATTTTCTGTTTTAGAGGAGTTACCCATGCGGAAGGTTGCCTCGGTTTCTGGTCCGTAGCTTTTTCATTGCTTTATCAGCAGACGGGTAATACAGTCTTAACACAAACTGGATAAACCTGATCACAGAATTCTCAGGTTGCTCCAGATAAAAGTCATCCTTTGACATCAGTATGGCGGTGTCGAAGGTTGTGGTTGCCGATGGCTCTCCGCAGGATGGCGGGGAGTTTGCTCAGCAGTGTGAGGATTGTTTCTGAGCTGGGCAATGTTCTTTTGAGTGAGTCCAGCTGGTGGAATCGGATCCACGCGGAGGGAGGAGGAACCACTGCTGAGCTCCTGCATTTAACCTTGTCCCCTTGTCGTCGTCTGCTTATGGTTCTCTGCTAATTTTAAGGCTTTGGTAGCATTGACATCTGTCCTTTTTCCCTGTCCCACTGTCTCAGAAAGCCCGTGCGAGCCCGTCTCTCTGTGCTGGGGCTCACTGCCAGTCCCTCGCAGCAGCTCTGGCGCAGCACTGAGCCTGTGAAAGAAAATTGTATAAATAGAAGTGATTTAGTGGGGTAGGTGAAGGTATGATACTTTAAAACGTGTGTTTTATGGAATGGATGTGCTTGGCTCATCACACACGTGTCCTGGCTGCGTCCACGCACGCGGGAGGGCGCAGGCGAGGTGGGGGCTGTCGGAGCCTCCCAAGCCCTTAAGGGTTCCAAGAGGAGTAATTCCACCGCTGCCCCTGCTCCGATCTTAAATGGGTTTGGGGCGGGAGTGGGGGAGAGGCTGCAATGCAGAGCCGGGGAGCGGGGACGCAGGGCTGGGCGCTGGCAGCGGCAGATCCCCGTCCCGGTGACGGTGGGCTCAGGCTCCGGCGGGGGCACGAGGAACACTTGGAGTTACGGGTTTGGGAGCAGGTTCCAAGAGCAGAGATTCGGATGGGAACCCGCAGTTCTGCTGCTTCTGTCATTGCTGGGCGTCGTTCAGCATTTGGGTGTCGTTTGGGAACCTGTGGAAGGTGCTTCTTACAAACGGACAAAGCAGGCGGGTTTTGCTGTCACTGCTTCTGGTTTTAAGCTTACACCAGTTTTTAAATACAAATTGATTTACCACTTTGATATTTGTTTCAATTCAGTGTGTTTTGCTTCTGCCTAACAAGCCAGGCCTCTGTTTATTTAATTTATTTCAAATTTTTAATCACATTTCCAGTAGCTGGGAGAGGAGAAGCCATGGTGCTGTATCTCTTTGCCTTTCCGTTGTTTGTTCTCATGTGAGACGTCGCTGCCGTTTCTTGAGTGCGTCGCCCCACTGCGCCTGCGGAGGGTGGTTGTGCCGGGCCGGGGCAGCGGTTGGGCGTCGCGGAGAGCCCGTCTCTGCTCGGGGAGTCGCCAGGGTCGGCGGGCTCCATTTTACAGAGAAATAATGTTCCACCTGGGGAGCAGAACAGGCTCGGGCCGTGCGGTGAGCGCTTCACGTGGCTTCTGGGGAGGCGAAATGGGAAGCTGTAATTGAAATTCTGCTGTAGTAAATTTAAAATTAATTGGCTAACAAATTCCATTTCTTAGGCATGCCATCTGAGACTAAATTTTTTTATATGTTTTAAATATTTCATCATAGTTCAAAGTCAGGAAATATTCAGAAAAATTTGAAGTACTGATAGAGAGGGAATAGATTTCATTATTTCACAGAGTCACAGACTGGTCAGGGTCAGAAGGTCCCTCTGGAGCTCCCCCATCCCACCCCCCGCCAGAGCAGGGGCACCTCCAGCAGTGGCACAGGACGGCGTCCAGGCGGGTTTGGGATGCTCCAGAGGGGCCCTCCTCAGGTTGAGGTGGAACTTCCTATGGACAAGTTTGTGCCCGTTCCCTCTTGTCCCATCACTGGGCACCACTGGAAACAGACTGTTCCCATCCCCCTGGCACCTCCCTTGAAGGATTTATAAGTATTGATAAGATCCCCCTCAGTCTCCTTTTCTCCAGACTAAAAAGCCCCGAGTCCCTCTGCCTTTCCTCATAAGAAAGGTGCTCCAGTCCCCTCATCATCTCCGTAGCCCTTTGCTGGACCCTCTCCAGCAGTTCCCTGTCCTTCTGGAACCGGGGAGCCCACAACTGGACACAGTGCTCCAGATGTGGCCTCCCCAGGGCAGAGCAGAGGGGGAGGCCGTGTTCACAGCAGCCTGTCCGCAGGCGGTGGGAGCCACGGGGAGGGCAGAGCAAAGGGGAGCAAACACATGGCGCTTCATCATGTCAGGAAAGACGCCCAGGCAATGCGGCATGGACATCCACCGAGGTGTGAGCAGACACTTCTCACACCAGGCAATTCCCCCATCTTGCGGCATGGGCAGGGTGTTTAACACGGGCTCATCCAGTGTAGGAATAATGCAGAAGCGTTGGGTAGAAGCGTGTCAGGCAGTTGTGTCAGAGAGCTGAAGCCAACTGGAGTATGTTGTTTCCTTGCACATCATCTGCCACCTTTTTGTGCTAGGGCCCTTCCCTTTGGCATAGAGCTTCGAAACGTGAACATCTACCTGCCTTACTTCCAGGGTGCGAGTAATCTCATGTTAGTTGAACGTGATAAGCCATCACTTTGTTAGAAAACAGATGATTTTACAAGTTACTTTATGTTTCAGGTCCTCAGTATCGGCTGGAGAAGCAGAGTGAACCTAATGTCCCAGTAGATTTAGACTGTACCTTGGAGAGCCAGAGCACTTTGGAATTCTGCCTTGTCCGGGAGAACAGTATGTTTCCCCTTTTCACTTTTGCTCTTGTAAATTGCTTAAACTCACATAAGTTATGTATTTTGGATACAAGCTGTACTGTCTGGGCAAGTGAGTTTTGACGAGACTTTCTTTCCTGAGGCACTTCTCAGTTGTGCCAAAACAATATTCCAGAGGGAAATGATGGATTTCATACCTTCTAGTAAATAGTCTGCATCCTGTTTATCACTTCATGATTAATCTTTTTCTGTTAAACTCTGCTCTGTAAAGTTATGACCAACCCTGAAAAACACTGGAAATATGAAACTTTTTCTGTTGCAGACATTGCTTAGTGAATAAAGTGATTGGTCTGCAATATGTTTTGCCATGTCAGTATGGCTGTTAGAGGCACTGATTTTTTTTTCTAATAGAATTTAAAGAAATTAACCATGCAGATATAACTAGAGCAGTATAATGATTTTTAAAGTGCCAGACAAATAATCTCTCCAGCTATGCTCAAATATTTTTATTCTGTTATTGTTTTAATGGTCCTAATATTATTTCCTGGTTTATTTCTTTACAAGGAATTATATGAAACTTTAAAAAACAAGTCATTTAACATTGATTTGTGTTTGTCCTCCATAGCATTTTGGTCCGTCCTTCATTCTTTCCAACAGTCATGCTCTCAGTTCGGGGATGTTTTTTTTCATTCCATTTTAATTCAGCTGTAAAGATGTTGATTGTACGAATGAGGAAACCAGGAGCATTCGTGCTCTCAGCCAAGACCACGCTCAGAGCGTTTGCTGCAAACAGTCGCAGTAAGGGCCTGGTTCAAGGAGTAGAAGAGGGTTTTTTTCTTTCTTTACAAAGATTAGAGCTTTCCATTTATGCTTTCTGGGTACAGCATTTCGTATTTTATCCTAGAATGACAGCAGAGCATCCCCAAAGTACCTTCTAATTCCGGGGGTGAGTAGTAGACTCCTCCGGTTGAAGGAGTAGCAGAGGGGAGAGGCCGCTGCCGGGAGCTCTCTGGTGGGACGTCAGCGCTGGCACCGAGATTAAGCACTCACAGTTTTGGCTGCCGTTCTCCACAGAGTGGGACTTGCTCCCAAAATATTCTTGATGCTCCTGGTTCATTTCTTCATGAAATGGTTCAAAGAAACTGTAGGAGAGAACGCGGCAGAAGGCGGCAGGGGTGCTGTGCACGAGGAAATGCCGCAATTTTAACCTCGCTAATCAAGTTGCCCTCTTCCACAAGCCAGAATTCCCCGACGTCTGCATCCTAGCTATTATTTTTGCATTGATTTTTAATCTATGAAAAGATGCATACTAGTCGTACTTTCATAGGCTTTGCATGTTTTGATCAAAGATAACGTTTTTTAATCCGGTCTCCGTAATTAAGTGTATATTGTATATACTGCATTTTTAACATATTTTCATCATCTGCGGAGGAATCCATGCTGTGACTCGTAGCTTTATCTACTGATGCTCTTAGCTCTCACGAGTGACTAGGTTCAGGTTGCAGCATTACTTCAGTAGTAAATATGTCGAAAGTTTTGAGTGATTTAGCAGGAGGCATTCGGTCTACTCTGCATCAGTAGCAAATGCTCCAGGAGAGCCTCAGAGGCCTCGTCTCAAAACAAATGTCAGTCATAGTGTTGAGGGAACCCTTTTCCCTGTCCCTGAAGTTCTTATGCAGCGACTGCTCCTCTTCCCTCCTCGGCGAGGGGACCCAAAAGCACACTGCTCTGCAGAACAGGACGGGCAGAGGCGTAGGATAGATCCCTGGGGCTGCGAGTCAAAAGCACTCTCAGTTCGTGAGCTCTCCGGGCCCTCGTTAAGCAAAAGAGCGTGAACTGGAGCCCTGAGTAGGACGGGTGTTTCCCCATAAGCCCTGGGCTGGACCCCGAGGGCTCCCCGTGCTCCCGGTGCCGCTGCAGTGGCATCACACTGGTAGGTGGTGGCATTTTGTCCTGTCCATGGGTCTCGTGTTTGCAGCCAGCGCCTGGAACGTGGCAACGCAAAGGCAAAACCGGCGCTTTGACTCTGTGGGGTTCAAGAGCTGTCACTGTTGTAGTTTGTTCCAGGCTGACAGTAATCTAGGCAAAATAATAAGTGCTTACATGAATTCTGTCTCTTTGCTGCTGTGCTATTACTGAGTGTTTTCTGAATTGATACTAAACTCAAATAAGGAATGCAGGAGAAATCTTCTGCTTATAGTTTCTCCCCCAAATCTGGGTGAATTTAAAGTGATCTTCCATTGTCCCTGCTCGGGGATATATGTGGACACCCATGCAGTTAACTCTCTGCACACATAGATGTTCAAGGACAATACAGTATATAAAATCCGTTGTAATTCATGGATTGTACATAGTCTGGTTCCCCCAACACTAAGAAATTGGATTTTGTAGTGCTTAAGGAGCTATCTTTTGGCATGGCATTAGAATAGAAATATTGACACTTTTGCACTATTAGTAAAATAATAGCTTGAAAATCCTGACATTAAACCAAAATATTCATTTTGTGCATTTTGTTTTTATTTAAAATATTTTTAGCTTAGATATGGCAGTCAGGAAAAACTCTGTTATAACAGCTATTATTTTTAAATGTGCTCTTCATAGTCTCATATTCATTTATAAATATATATATATGTATGATGCCAAACATCTGCTAGTAAAATAGCTGCCAGTTTCCTTTGGGCAAATAGAAAGTTTATATTTCAGGGTATTAAATGAAACACAAAATGTTCCATTATTAAGAAATACATATAGAGAAAACCCGTATCTATCCAACATTTACTAATAGCATTCAAACTAATAAACTGTTTCCAGTATGCAGAACTTTTTACCTCGCACTAAGATTTATCTTTGAACTAAAAGCCTGCACTTTGTAATATGAAATGCTTTTATGTGTAGGAGCAAACTATTCATGGCTAATTTAGTTTTATTCTTACCATCTTACTTCTGGAAAGTTCCTCTTTCTCATTTTATCATTAGATAGTAATTAGTATTCAAGGGAAATTGGTCTTAATATATTAAAATTGGTTTAGTGCCTTTAGACCTGTACCAATGCCAATGTCTTATTGGAAAATGTAATTGGGGACTCTGTGTATGTAATTAATTGTATTACAATTAAGAACTCTCATTAAGCAATATACTAGTACATTAAAGTAATAAGGGACATTTTTGCAATGCAGTTAACTTTACATTTTGTTGTTTTATCGAGGAAATACAGGTTCACGTGCTCTTGAATAGGCTACATACGGCATTTCAATATTCTGATATTACTAATGCATCATTTTCATATGTCCCCAAGTGCTTACGGGAGTCTTTTTTGGATAAGGCTCCTTGTTTTAGCTTCTAACTTATTTTCAGACTTGTGCTTCCGGTGCCAGTTGTGTCATTACTGTTGGTCTCATTTGAAAATCAGGATTTTCTATGAGCAGATTGGACTGAGTTACAAATATAACTGTATTTCAGAGTAGTTCAAGTACTTGAACAAAAATACCACCTCTATACTGAACCTGGTTTAGAAAAATTGAAAGAAAACAAAGCAAAAAAACCCTCACAACAGAGTCAAGATGGATGACCATTAAATGTAGAGACTGCAAACTGGTGCCATGACTGACTTCTGAAACACCGTAGTGCTTCACCACAGTGGCCCTCTTAACGAGTAGAAGTATGTAGCCCGTGATACCATTTTTGCTTTTTATTCAGCTTCTGTGGACAGAAAACACCACTCTGTTTTTTAAAGTAGGGGCTGTGTTTTGATGTTTGGTATTGTTTTGCTGCCCACGCAATGTGAGCAGAGCTGAAGAGCCATCCGGCCGTCTGGGGCATCCCTCCACTGGTGAGGACCGAGATGGGAGAGTTCATAAGAATCAGATGGATAAAGAAAACAGACACGTAGCAGCACGGAATGCGTACGCATCTGTACGGGATCTCCCTCCGTCCAGCACCATGTGTTCTCACATGGTGACTTTGGGTGTAGGGGTTTAAAAACACAATTTCTGGGAGAACACCATCAGCCCTGCAGTGTCTGTGTTTCCGTCCCAGAGATGGAGTCAGCACACACAGACTGCCGCGCTCTCCACTGAACCAGGTCTGACTTCCCTGTACCCCCCATCGCCCTTGCGATGCCAGACGTCCCGGGCATTGCTCCGTGCCTGGCGTGGGCATGGCGGGGCAGAGGCACCGGCTCCCTCTCCACCGCCCTTTTCCTGCGCCCTTCATGGGTGTTCCTACCCTATCCTTCAGTAATTAACCCCCATCCTGTGCTACGGGAGGTGCCAACCTCAGAGCTCTGCTTTGGGCTTCATGCAGGTTCTTATCTTGGGCCTTGTCTGTCCCACACCTGACTCCAGCTTTTTTTGCTTTTTCTTTCACAAAGTAAATCTTAATTAGCTAGACTATAAGGCAAAAATACAGCGGTCATCACGAACTGACTCTCGTTGTCGTTATGAGAAGGAGTCTGTTCCTGGAACAGGAGTCGGTCCCTCCAGGACGGGCGGTCTGTGCCAGCAGAGCCCGTTGCTGGATCGGCTCTTGGGCTAAATAATAGACCTGGAGCATCCACTTTGCTTGATTGTCTTCCCGAGCAGAAGCTTTTACATTCAAAAGCCACACTGTGATCTCCATTACAAATACCCTGACAGGCCTGTAAATATTTGACAGGTTTATTCACAGCTGCTTGCGCGTGGAAAATATTTTTATGATTTTTCCCCCAATCAGCCGGTGGAGATGGCTCTTCCCTCCGCCGCGTCTCGCAGGCACGCTCGCAGAGCTGCGGGGTGAGAGCAATATGCCAAGTTCTGCAGTCAGGTTTTTCCCTGCAGGGCATTTCTCTCTGTTGTTACTGATATTACTGCTATTATCCCGTGCGCCCTCAGGGCCCGCGTGTCTTGCCATCTTTAGACAGATGATCTGTTTTGATGGTGGAGTTCCTGGCTGCTCTCCCAAGAGCAGCAACTGTAGAAATCCTGTAAACCTGAATCCATTCACAAAGCTTCATAAAACAAAGCCGGCAGAGGTTGCTGCTACGCGGAGGATCTGAAAGGCTCCCAGAGCAGGGTGCGCCGGCCCCGCCTGCGGCGGGTGGTGCTCCTGCCGCTCAGACACCGACAAGGTGCTCACGTTTGTAGTTACAGGGATGGTTTTCTCCCCCGGGTATGATCTGGCTGGCTGCTGATTTTCTTTCTAATACTTTTAATTTGGGTGTGTGAAATCTGAGAAGACTCAGCTTCACAGCAGCGGTGTAAAGTGGCCGTGCGGTGTCCCCGCTTCGCCGGTATCTGCGTGCGGAGGGAGAGGCCGGGGCGGTTCGAGGCCGGGGACACGAGGGCAGCGGCACCCCAGAGCCTCCCCCGAGACCGGATCCCATGAACTGTTTAGAGAATGTTTTGCAGGAGGTCTGGGACGAGGTTAATATGTATTATTTCTGAATTTCTTACTGCTACCGATGTGGTTTGTCTGTTGGTGCTCACACTTTTTCTGGTATAACACTGTTCTCAAGACCCGGCTGTGCGGCGTGCTGCCCGTGTCACACGGCTGAGAGGCGTCACCTCCTGTTAAAGCGCAGTCGGGCGCGGGGAGCACCGCGCACCCCGCCACCCCTTCGTTAGGGGCAGCACTAACGACCTCCCTGCAGCCCAGGGTTGCTCTCCCGCCCCGTCCAGCAGTGACCCCGCTGCCCTGCCTGGCTTCAGGCCATGGCGCTGTCTCGGAGCCACCCCGGGTCGTCCCCTGTCCCACCGTGTCCCCACCTGTCCCCAGGTGCCACCATTGTCACCGCATGCCGCAGGGACAGGGCCGGTGGAACCACCAGCATGGCTGAGCGGGCGTTTCACTGGTTTCCATGGGTGGAAGAGGGTCCCGGTTTGCTCTTGGCCACGGGGTGGCGGTGCCATTGCCGCCCTCCTGCTTCGCTCTCAGGCACCACTGTGCCACGGTGTTTCAAGATGTTCTAAGTGCACCAAAAAGTTTGACATATCTCAGTGTATCTCGGAAGTACTGCAGCATGAGGGTTTGACATGATACATTATGATAATCCATGGTATAGAGACATTAACACAGGGGTCTTTGACAAAATACATTGTAATGTCTCTGAAGGAGCCATTACAATTTATCTTGTCATTCTGGAGCATAGAGTGGTTGCAATGTTAAGATGGCTCTGCATAAATTCACATGTAGACTGTTTCATTTGATTTTTGGAATTCTTTCAAGTGGAATGGCACAGCCCCATTTGTAGGTTAACCCTTCGCCATCCCCTTCCCCGGAGGTGGGTCCCCGCGGGGGTGGGGGGGGCAGTGGTGGGCAGGGGGAGGAGTGGGCATCCCGCGGCCGCTCTCCTGCGGGCAGGGCGGAGGGCTGACGTGACTAACGTCCGTGGTAGGTGACTCTCCTGCTGTATGCTCTCAACATGTATTTTGACTCATTTAACAGCAAATGCCAACCTCACTTTGATGCAGACATGAAAGATATTTATCATAAGCAGCGCTGTTTGTTACTGAATTCACAGATAGAGAAGGGAATGCTTTCAGCCAGCAAACAAACCGCTCTGCGCTCAGGTGGGGTTTTTTTTCTCTCTCTCCTATGTTTGTCCTGCTTGTGGCCACCACCCCAACAGTTCCCCTTGCCGAAGCCAACGGGCTGTACTTGTGCTACTCTCAGTTGCTGTTAAAAGGGAGACGGGTTCTGCCCCGACAGCGCGTGTGCGAGACAAGCGCCGGGGTTTTCCTCCCCCGGGAGCTGTGGCCTTTCCTGGCAAACCATCCCCTGGTCCGCCAGGCCCAAAGATGGCACCCGCCATAGCTTCCCTGCGAGCCGAGGTCCCCGAACGGGACGGGGACGTACACCCCCAGCGGGAGGGGTCAGCGTGGGAAGCGTTTGCGTTGAGGCTGCTCCAACTGTGCAAAATTAACACAAAAAATCTGACAAGTTCTTTGCCGGCTTTGCTGGATCTTTAAGACCTGTACTAAAATTCCATCATCTCATCTTCCCATTATTAAAATTTCAGCAAAATATAAAGTTTTCATTAATCTCCTGCAGCAAATTTAGTACTCTGAACTGGCAGTTGATTCAGCTTTTAGGACTACATTAGCTGGGATATTAAACAAAACGTGTCATTCTTCAGTATCTTCTGTAAGAAGCTAAATCAGTTTTCCAACATATTTATACCACTTTATCTAACGGCATCTGAATGTTCATTTAGAGCTGAGATGCTTTATTAGCAGCTGGCATAGAAATTACTCTGCGCAAAATTATATATCGCATTATAGTAATGTTTAAATTGGTGTTAATCCAACGTCATAAAATGTAAAAAATCTTTAAAGTGCGTTATATTTTTTCAGTAATTGGCATTTTGGCTTAATGAGATGTTACCTTTTATAAAGCCAGTACCTGCGGTAGTAATGAGAATACTAATCAGTAAATAAAGCGCAGCTCGGTTACCGCAGGGCTGAGATCAGAGCGCCCGAGGTGTTGCCAGCGCTGCAGCAAGACACCAGCGTCACGTCCCACGCGGGGGGACGCTGAACGCGCGGGAAAACGGTGCTAGTGCATACATCGAGGGCGGCACCGGACGACCCTGCCCTGGCCGGGGACAGGCCGCCTTCGCCAGGCTCCTTCCGGGGTGAGGGGCTGTGGGCGTGCAGCGGCATCGCGCCGGGCCGGCCCCCGCCGTCTGCGCTCCCGGGGCGTCTCGTGTCACCTGGGAATCTGCCGCTGGGGTGCTGCACTGCGCTTCGTGTGGGACGCAAATGTGTGTGGTAATGTCCTCAATGAGTTCGTGAATTGGTTCTTTGGGTGGCGGGTGACTGTCTCCTCCTCCCAGAGACATGGACTTGAGCATTTTGTTCTTTCTTAAAAAGCCATCTGCAGCTGCAGACGTCACAGCTGTACTTACCTGCTCGCTGAGTTGTACGCCGTATTTTAAACCTCTCGTTCATTATTGTTGGCTTGTTTTGCAGGTTCAAGAGGAGAAGAGGTCTCGGAGGAGGACCCCCAGATCGATATAGCTACAGTTCAGGACATGCTCAGTAGCCACCATTACAAGTCCTTCAAAGTCAGCATGATCCATAGGCTTCGATTCACCACTGATGTTCAGTTAGGTAAATCAATCTGTACTGTAACGCTTAGGAAAATGGAACGGCTCAAACCTTTGGCCATCTCTAATAGCTGACTGTCCATCCCAGACGTTTTTAAAGCAGTCATTATCATGTTGGTCTCTCTTATCATGAAGTACATCACTTGAAAGTGTTGCTAGCATTTCAGCAGTTAAAAAAAATTGCTTTCAGCGGAAAATACTTCAGTATTTTTATTATCCACAATCAGCTAGCACATGTTTCTTCTGAAAGAAGGCCATTATTTAATGACCCCATCTCTTTTTTTTTTAATTTAGGCTTCCTAATGGAAAGCTTCTTGCCAACTGTTTTGTTATTTTTAAATGAGGCTATGCAAAATTGGGAATGATTAGGTTTTTCCTTTTCTGAGTCTGAAAGATTTTAACAACCAAGTGGAAATTCGAGGTGGAACAAAATAAAACTAGCATTCTCTAAAGGTTTTATATTGTTTTTATTAGCTTTCTGAATGCTTTTGAAAACCCAAAGGCCAAGGGATGACAGAATCTTGAATTATAAAAGCCCCATTACTGTTTTAAAATGATTGAATGGCTTTTTATCTTTGTGTTTAAATTGTGAAAATTTGATTAATGATGCATTGGTAGGTGACCTGTGACATTCCTGCAAATACCTTCCATAAAGAAATGATTCAGCAGTAAAATATTAAGTGCCGTAATGTTTACAAAATATGTTTATTCTGAAGAATTCAGTAGAATTGTTAAATTTGCACTGTAGCATTTTCTGTATTACTGTCACTACAGTCTCTTCATTTTTCTGTCCTTAAGCACATATAAAAGTATATGTCTCTAAAATTTTATGGAAGAGGCTTCCCTAGTTTATTTTTAACTGTCTTGTTATGGAAGGATTTATATGCTGGTGCTGAAGCAGGACAGCGCTGGGCACGATTTCTGCTTTTGAGCAAACTATCTGGGTGTGATAGTTTGTTTCCAGTGAAGTTTGACTCACTGTATCTGGAAAGTGTCAGAAATGAGAGCTTGAAAAGGTCATGACAGATCACTAAAGATAAATGGTTAAGGGAGAATAGCTGTTAAATGAAACAAATGGCTTAACTTGTATAGCAGAGAAGGAGCTGACCCTGTCCAGTAGCGTAAGGGCCATAAAATTTCCCTTTTATAACAATATATGAACTTGTATATTTTTGACGGCAGTACACTGACAATGTGATTTTTATGTCTTTACTTTTTAAAAACCAAAGAAAACCCCGGTGAGATAGTCAGAGTTTGGACAGACATACAGCATCAAAAACTCTAAATAAAGTGAAAGTAAGTGTGTGGGTTTTCTCATGAATTTGTAAAAGATATTAAAAGAGCGATGCTGGTCAAGTAAGCATTGAGGTGCTATTTGGATTAGTGCTACTGAGTGTTAATGCGTTCGTCTGCGAGTGACAGACTGCTCCACACAATCTGAAATGTAAAAAACGATGTCTCATTTTTTTTCATCGCTCATCAGTAACGGTGGTTCGGGAGCCAGTCCGTGTCACTTTAAAGATGGCCGATTGCAAAGACTTTTCTCTGTAGCATTTTCATGTCATCAGTTCGATGTAACATCCGTAGCACAGCGACAGTTTTCTTAGTGGACACTGAGAATCCAAAGTCATTCCATTGCTCCTCATTGACGGTGTCGGTGGTGCCGGGAGCTGTGCAGGAGCGTACCGGGGCCAGGCCAGCTGAAATACAGTACGGGCCAGTTGCACTGAAAATACCCGTGTGGTTTCAGAGGCGAGTGCCGGTTTCCCAGGCTTCTCGTGGAAGGGTCTTTAGGTGTGCGAGAACCCCGACGCCGTGGAGCAAACGCTCAGCGCAGCTCATCTGCGCTCCCTGCCCTTCGCTCCGGCATCGTAAGACGTCCACATGGCATTGCATTGGGATAGATTCGGTACTGGACTGTGTTGCAGTTGCGTGGAACAGGTAGCAATAGTGCGAGCTGTGTTTGTGAGTTGCTGTTTGCATACTGGTGCCTTTTGAAATGCTGTAGCTGTTTTGAGGCCTGATCATTTAATTTGAGGCAAGGTTTGCCGACAATATTGGAGTAAGCTTGATCTTCTGTACATTACGTGTAGTTCTTGAGAGTAAAAAGCAATCCGTAAATGGCCATGGGAGGAATGACCACCTTTGGACTTTGGTTTTATTGCAGCGGAAAGCTTTAGCCCTAGCGGTTTAAGGTCTGGAGTTTTATGTTTTAGCTCATATTACAGCGTAATGCACGTACAGTAGTACTCTCAACATTTTTACAAAGGTTCTATCACAGTGTGAAGACATAAGACACATTGGCTTGTGTATCACATTAGCAAAACTAAAAGAAGCATATTGTCTTGGAAAATTACTGCTGGCAAGTATTTCAGAAAAGGGGGGGCAGTTGCAGACCCCAACAAAGGCAGCAAGAACAGAACAGTGTTACTGGACTAGTACAGCTATGCGCTTTTTTTTTTGATAAAATGAATGAATTAAAAAAATAATAGGGAAAGCATTTTTACTTGGTTTTTGAGCAAGACTAATTTGTTCTGCAATTCAGAGACTGCAGAAGCCACGTACATAATCATGTTTTGATTTTAGGTTTCAACACATACGGATTGTGAGAACAATAACACAAAAAAGACAACATTCTTTGTCAATGTGCTCTTTGGATGTGTGTGAGCTTAAGCCAGTGATGTCGAGATACAGAAATAATGGATGAAGCATACAGCAACAATTTGCAGATAAAAATAATAGAAGTTAAAGTGTATTTTACATGATAAAAAAAAGATGAAAGAGGAGGAAGTCTGTTACATCTGAGATGGTTACAAAATCCATGCTTGGTGAAGTAGCCTCTGCTGAAAAGATTGATGCAATGGGGAGTGACCTTGGCTTGGAGCAGGAGCTGGTGATGTATGTATGAGCATCTCTCTGCTAAATGGACCCAGATTTGTAGCACTAATATACATGGAAGCCCAGAACCAAACTCAGGATGGCAATAAATCAACAGCCACTTTGGGTGTCATTTCTGGTTTATATTCCACTATTGTTCTATCACTTTAATTCATGTCACTATCATCTGTTCATCTGGAACAGTTTTATATAATTTTCCAGTGGAGTTACCTGACAAATCCTATCAAATTAACAAGGTGCATTAACAATATTGACTGACTGTGAATTCTGAAGTTGCAGGACCATACAGTGAAATTTTTTTAAGGATATTTTCAGGGCTGGTGTTTTTAGAGGAAGGGATGGGGAACAACCCTCACACACAAAGAATTTGCGCCTTTATTTTTAGAACTTGCCTTGACTTTTTTCAGTCAGAAAATAAGAACCTGTACCATCAACTTTGCATATTTTCCTTAAACTAAAGAAAATGCCATTTTGAATAATTAACTATTACAGTGAAATAGCAACACCGATTTTAAATAATCTGTCCAAAATTAAATTACAAAACAAAATGGGCTCCAGATACAGCATCAGTCTGCTCAAATTAGCTAGTTCTAGCAGTCCTTGTGTTAATTGGACTCTTGATACAATGCTTAATTGAAATGTGATCTCTCTGATGTGACGTATGTTTAATGACAAAGCGCATTCTTGTATTAATAGAAGGGGGAGGGGGTTGGTGGTGTTATTATAACCCATCGTAAGAGCCAGGGCTGAAATGAAGGTAACCTTGCGGTGGTGGCAGGGACCGCAGCGAGAAGCCGCTGTAGGCGTCCGCTCCTGGGGGTCTGCATGCTTTGATTTTAGAGTTGCATAAAATACAAACGAACGTGGCTTGCAAATTCTGCAGCTATGACCACACTTTAAGAAACGTTGCGTTTATTTTGGAGGGCTTGGGAGAGCCGTTACGTGTGTGGCATCTTACTCTTATTTTGTCACATCTCTTAAAAGTTTTATCATCAGCTCCTTTAGGTTTTCTTGTGCTTCAGACGAGCCAAGCGTAGTGCATTTGAAAGCATCAGAGCCAAAACCCTCAAGAGGGAAAAGGTTCTCTCTGCTGTTTTTCCAGAGATGCAAGAGTTAAATGACGTTTAAATACTTTTTCCCTGTATCGCTTCCTTTTGTCGCTTTCTCGTGAGCTTCACCTATAATTCATGACTGAAGAAATGTAATTATTTTTAAGGCTCCACACGTCTTGATGTAAAAAGCACACTGGGAAGTTTGTTCGGTCATGTCAACAGCTACTGAACAATGAGCTTCTGTTCATCAGTGCGGCATAGCCGGGGTTTTGCTTCGCAATACTGCGATAAAGATGGCTATAAATTACAGTGCCTGTCCCGGGCCGGTCCCAGCACGCCGCGAGCCCTCAGCCCGCCCCGGCAGCCTCCCGCTGGATGGGCTCTTCTTGCCCCACTGCAGGGGTAACGCGTGGAGGGATGACAGAGGGATCTTCTGCTCTCGCTCACGAAAGGTGTGCTGTAGGACGCGGCCGTCCCCAGGTCAGCCTACACGCAGCAGTAGCGAAGCGGCCGCCATCTGGGGACGCCCATGTTGAGAAGCGGCGCCCGGCGCCCGTGCCAGGAGCTACACAGATCCTCAGCTTGCTTTCAAAGCAGCCTAATTAGAGCTGGCTTTAAAATGCCAGCAGTGTAAAAACGCACAGGGTCTCTGGGACTGGATGTCTTTGTTTATGAGGATCTGGGTAACACAAAGAGCGTCTCTGTGATGCTGCAAATGGGTGTTGTCCGCTCATATAGAGGATGTAGTGTATGTGCTGTATAGGAGATGGAACGGGGACGGTGTGTGATAGTGTCTATTACATAGAATAGTGGTGATTGAAACACTAGCGGTATCTTTTTATAAATCTTGCAGCTCATGCAGCTACTGTTTCCAGAAGAGCTCTGTATGTGTTGAGAAGAATTTTTTCTGTGATATTTCTCTCATGTTGGTATGCTCATGCAGGAGAATAAAATGCAGATTATCAGTGCGGTTTGATAACCATTTGCGTTTGGTTTCAAAAGCTCCTGTGCTTTCAAAAAGCCCAAAAGGGCAATATACTTTCATCCCATTTAAGATTTATAAAGTGTGTCAAACAGCTGATATGAAATCGCTTAACAGATCACTATTGTGGCTCTCTATTCTTTCTCATCTCAGGTATTTCTGGAGACAAGGTAGAGATAGACCCTGTTACTAATCAGAAGGCCAGCACTAAGTTTTGGATTAAGCAGAAACCCATTTCAATCGATTCAGAACTCCTCTGTGCCTGTGACCTTGCGGAAGAAAAAAGCCCAAGTGAGTAGTCCTTTTTATTTATGTTCTCTCTTCTCTCCCTCCCTGTATGTGCTAGATGTCCAAAGAATTATTGCTACCGTGTCCTTTTCTTTCTATAGGTGTATTTTATTCATCATAGAATGGTTTTAATCTGACTCGATTCTGTTATGGAGAACACAACATAAACAGATACACATTTGATGTGTGTCCTTTTAATGCTGTTTACAGCTAATGGCATCATTAAGAGTGTTTCTTGCCCACTGTCAGTAGCTGCCAACAGTGTCACACCCAGGAAACACCGGCTTTGCCTGGCCGGTCTCTAGCCCCATAGCACCATAGTCAAGTAGATGTCTCAACACAATTGCAATTTTTTTGAACTTCTTAACATCCAGACTGGTTTTAAACAATTTCTTAGGTGCAATTGAGGATCTCGTACATAAAGTAAGTATCAGCACAGTCTCAATTTGCTTCAGCCGTGGCGGCAGGGTCACCGGGATTATGACGTGCCGCTCTGAGAGTTCAGTTTGGGGAAAGCAGTGGCCGCGCCTGGCCGGCAGCGATAGCTACGCTAGCCCAGGACGGGCTGGACATCCCAGTTCAGCCAGTCATCAACAGCGCGTCAGAGTTGGCTCTGCTCAGAGTGCGACTTCAAAAGCCAAGTGCTTTTGGTTGTTGTATCAGTGGAGTAATGAGAGTCTATATCTGAACAATTTGTTTTAAAAAGCCCAAGATAGGCCCTGGGGGAATTGGGCAATGTCTCCCGGTGGTGCCAAAACGTAACTGACAATGATCAAAAAGTACCTGTGGTTCAAAAGCTCAGATGGATTTTATTACACTTGTGCTTTTGCAGGGTAGGGATGCTGAGTATTAAGTACTTATCTGCAAGGTGACAGAGAGGGAGAATTATGTGATACATATTTACAGAGGTAATGATCTGTTGAATTCTCTTGGAAGAGTAAATTTATGGCTGCTACAGATTTTATCAGCAATTATTGAACTATATCCTTCTCCCCTTCATTACCCCTTCCTACTTCCATGTTCTTAGTCTAGTCGTTGTCTTCCTTTTCTGTCTCTCCAGCAAGATTTCATGGTCCTTGGGAAGGCGTCATCGCAAGGAGAGACTTCCCTAATGACCAGGCAGTCCAAAATGCGTAACGGTTGTCTTTAGAGTTCAAGGTGCAGTTTTGCGCTTGTAAATATATTAACACCTGTGGGTTTGTAGCCACATTTCATTTCAAATGCAAACACTTGTGGTGGTAAAATTGTGCCCACAAAATGAGGCTGTATCTGAAAAGCCAGCCTTGAGAGCCGCAGTTCCCAGCTCACACGTCCATCAACACAATAGTCTTGAGACCTTCAAGCTGTCCCTGAACCTCCAGAACTGCGTCCTGCAGAGGACAGGGCTCTTCGGCCCCAGCGGCAGCTCCTGCTGCTGGAGGAGCCCAGGTTCTGCCAACCCACGCAGAAATCAGGGACAGAATTTCAACCCCCAAACAGAACCCAGCGGCGGAAGGGCCGTACCTTCACGTGGAGACTGTTGAATTAAGAGTCGTGGTCACTTTGTCAAGGATGCTGATAGGTTACGACAGAGGCAACCTTTATGATATTGAGGTTTTTTATTGACTCATTTTCATGTGGCCATCATAAACTTTTCCAATTAAATAAGCATAGTTCCAAAAGCTGAAAATAATTCCTCCTGAAATCTGCTGACCTCTTCCCGATCTGCTAAAGATGTTCCAAAAGTCATTATTTTAGGCCAGTAGAAGAGACTTTTAGTGTGACATCTCAGAATGATACATTTTGGGGTACTCTTAACAGCAGATCAGTATCTCTTGAATTTTAAATGGAAAAAAAGTTATTTTAGTAGCATAAAGGAATGAAACTCACTGTATTTCACAAGTTTTGTCTGTGATTTTTATCAGCATAGTGATATATGTTTGTAGCAGAGTTTACATCAAAAATTATTCCCGGATCTTCCTTGAATGAATTATTGCAAAGAAAGAGAGGCTGAGTAAAGATAAGGTCTTTGAGTTCTGCAATATATTTTGTTTTCATGTTTTTATCTCTTGTAACACAAACACGCTCCATCTCGTCTTTCAGAAGTGTTCTGCACATGTAGCAGTGCTCGTACAGTTACACCGGGTGAAAGCAGTGTGTGTTTTATGAAGCTGCCTGCCTGCCCTAGACGCTGGCGCTTGGGGTTATAATAAAGTTGAGTCCTGCTTCGCTAGACTGACTTCTTGTAATTCCGCAGAGAGGTGAAGGGTTTGCGGAGCCTCCAAATGTGACCTTACTTTTTAGTAAGGGCAGGGGGTGTTGGGAGCGGGGCTTGGTCGCTGTGGTCAGTAAAGCTGGAGCTTTCTGCAACAATTGTTCCTCTGAATGTGGTAATTACCACGGTTTAATATTCAGTTAGCTCTTACTTTCTGCAGATTAAAGAGATTTCAGAGTTTTTACAGGTACTTTTCTGCAGAAACGTAAAAATAGAAATTGCATATCAATATAGGGGAGAGCTCGTGCTGATTTTCTTTTAGTTTTCTCTGAAAAAACAGGTTCGTGCAGCGAAGCTTTAGTGGCACTTCTGTGAGTGTTAAAGGACTCAACAGCTTCAGAGACGACACGTTGTGAATATTTACGGACAGACTCAGAGTCGTTCTGGTCGGGGCTGAAGCTTTCCTGTGCTGTGAGTTCGCAGAACTTAGAGCTGCATTCAGTGAAAACAGAAAATGAAAACAGAAAGCTTTGGCATCTAATTTGCCATTAGTGCGGGTATTGTAGGCAGGAACGGCTGATGATTTTTGTTTGCCCTTGTAGTAGGCCTGGGTCAGCATTTGAATTTTTATTTGTAAATTAAATCAGACTCCCTGAATTTAGACAGAGGGAAGAGGTAATGGCCCTGCTGGCTCGATCAAATGCCATTAGAACCTGAAAACACTGTGTATAAACGGCTTGTTTAAATCAGGTTCCGTCTGATTATCACGAGAGATTCTGAATGTTTTGAATCTTGAAAGGAAGCATCCTATCATTGAGAAATAAGATTTAAGCCTTAATAAAGTAGTTGTCATTTTTATAGCTGAAAAGAGCTTTGTATCTCAATTAAGTGTACATAATATAAAGTCTTAAGGAAGCAACATAATACATTTAATACAATTATATCCCTTTGCAATAGTGTAATTTAAAGGAAATCTGATTCTGTTAATGTCTCTTACATTACTTGGACAAGGGAGAAACTTCAGTGTCACTGACCGCTGCCTTTTTACAAAGTGCACTGTGGACCAAGTGCGGCTGTGATGGACGCGTCGTGGCCGTCCCTCCCAAGGGCTGGGGCTACCAGGCTGCCTCGGATCCGTGCCGCAGGAGCGCCGAGCCGGCGCCGGTGCCTGGAGGGGCGAGCAGAGCGCGGGGCAGGTCCCTTAGTGGCACTGGGGCTCATCAGTTGGGCAGACTACAGTTTGCGAAATAGGTGGGGTTCTTCCATTCGTGTGTATTTTACGATAGCTGCAGAAGTCGGATTTATTTGATCATTTACTTGAAATACTGAAGAAACATTCTCCGTGATCCTTTTTCTGCTCTTTTTTGTTTCAGTGCAGCAGATACATCTCAGTTGCTTGGTCAAAATATCCTTAATATTAAGGTAGTCTAAACAAAGGTGTTCTGTAGGTCATGGAGTACATTGGTAACTTCGGTTTGTAATTTAATTGCCTGCTTTGCACCCTGCAGCTTAGGATTTCCTTTAAATTCTTATTCCATTGTTGCACTGGGGCTTAACAGAGTGTTAACCTGGTAATAGGCACAGGGCCTCCCCATTATATGTCTCGCTATCGAGCGGTTCTGCATGACTAGTTAAAAAAGATGGCAAGAAGATTAATGAAAGCCGCCCAGTACAGAAGGGGGGTAGGTACCTTTGCAAGACTTCTAGCGAGGAGATATTAGAGCTGAACCAGAGCTTGGCTTTTTCTTTATCCTGTGACCTTTGAACCTGCCTTACTGTCGAGAGCTGCCAGCGGAGCCGACGTTTTGATTGATGTTGCTACACGAGTCAGTCTTTCCCATTGAATTCCACATCTGCACGAAAATAGCTTTTCTAGCAGTATTCATACTGGCTGTAAGCGATAGCCAAAGTGATGCCTGAAATGCCTTTATGTAGTTTTCATTTAAAGCTAAAGGTATTTGATGTTTTAATTCAGTATCCAGTTCCTCCAGATTATGCACGTTGGGTAATACTAATTTAATGAATTCATTATTGGGTTGTGAAAGGTTGAAAA